ATTCTCTATCATCATACTTTTTGCTCTTCTGGAAAGCTTCTCCCTCACTTCTTTACCTGTTAAACCCCAGCTTTCTCATCAAGCCTTCCTCAAACGTCATCTTAACCTCTGCAGCAGTTCCTAATCCTCTCTCCACCAAAGGAAAACAATATAGCCTCCATTCAGTTCTATATGACATTCACAGCCCTCCTCATATTTTGTAAAGCTATGTGTGTCCCCTTCTGAAATGTGGCTTCTTCCAGACTGGAGAAGAGACACTCACTTTTCAGTTACCCAGGTACCAAAGAAAGCTAGCACAGTGCCTAGCACAAAGAACACTCTGTGGCAGTATGGTATACAAATGATGATAATATAATTAGGGTGACCACACAATTTATCATTCAAACTGAGGTACTTTTGAGGGTAATGAGATGCTAGTACAAATAGCATCAGGACAAAAGGTGTACACAGGGACTATCCCAGACAAACTGGAAGTATGTTCATCAAGTAACAGTTACTATTCTATGTGCTGTCTATGTGTCATTTATTTGACCTACATAATGACCCCATGTGGGAGCGACTGTTATTATCTGCACATCACAAAGACACTGTGGCAGACATGTAAGGGAACTTACGTAAGGCAGCACCATTAGGGGCGTGAGTGGAAGAGACAGGACTTGAACTCAGGTCCTCGGAACCATCTTCTGGGCCATTAAGCCCTATTGCCTCCCAGGGGAAGATCTCAGGCCTTGGAACAGGACAGGATGAGGTTGTGTTCCCAGCTCAACTTGAAGTAATGTTAGTTACCTCTCTCTGGCTTTAGTTTGTTCATCCACAGAATGACGATAATGCTTATTTCCAGTAACCCTAGAGGATTAACTGAGATAAGGTATGAAAAGATCAGGTACAGTGTGTGTGTTTGTGATGTACGTGACCCAGGAGTAAGATATCTGCCAGTTTACTGTAGCTTCCATAAGACATCTACTTAAATAGCTGCCACACAAAGTAAAAAGTAGTAAGTGCTATAACAGAATATTTAGTGAAGTCGCCAGAGGCCCCATAGCCTGATGGTTAAAAGCATGGAATTTTGCATGACACTTAAGTTTAAATTTTGCATAACTCTGTGGGATTTAAATAGACATTTCTCCAGAGAAGATATGCAAATGGCAATAAACACTTGAAAAGATGCTCAACAGCATTAGTCCTGAGGAAAATACAAAATGAAACCATGATATATCACTTAACACCCACTAGAATGGCTGAAGCAAAAAAAAGACAGACAATAAGAGATGTTGGCAAGAACATCAGGTAGAGAAACTGAAACCCTCCTCTCCTACTTTGCAGGTGAAGCAAAGTGGTAGAGCCGTTTTGAAAACCAGTTTGATAAGTCTTCAAAAAGTTAAACATTGAGTTGCTATATGAGCCAGCAGTTTCTCTCCTAGGTTATAATACTAAGAGAATTGAAAAATATGCCCACATAAAAACTGATACACAAATGTTCATAGCATCCTTATTCATAATAGCCAAAACAAACAAACAAACAAACAAAAATGAAAAAGAGAAACAATCAAAATGCCTATCAACTGATATGGTATGTTTATACAATGAAATATTCAGCAAAAAATAAAAAAGGACATGAAGTTCTCATGTATCCGATGTAATAAACTTGAAAATGTAATGCTTGCTAAGTAAAAGAAGCCAGTCACAAAGGATTACATATTGTATGATTCTATTTATATGAAATGTAATTTACCTCCAGAATAGGCAGATCTGTGGAGACAGAAAGATTAGTGGTTGCTTAGGTCTGGGTTTGGGGGAGATAGAGTGACTGCTGATGGGTACAGGGCTTCTTTTTGGGATGATGAAAATATGAAATTAGCTAGAGGTAATTGTTGCATAACTATGAAAGCACTCAAACCACTGAACTGTATACTGTAAAAGGATGAATCGAATGATATGGGAGTTATATCTCGATAAAGCAGTCATTAAAAAATTTAGTCTCTGCTATTGACGTTGAGTATTGGTGCAATCTAAAAAATACAGGGCTTATTACAGGGTCTAACTCAAAGAGCAGGTGTGAGGCTTAATTGAGAGATCAAATTTAAAACTCTTGGCACAGTGACTGGTTTAGTGAATGCTTGAAAATATATAGTAATGATGTTAATATTTTTTCTTAAACACATGGCCTTTCTCTTGTCCATCCTGAAGCTAAGGGTCAGTGGTGCTTTCAGCAAAATAGGCTAAGGATTCATGATGACTTAGGATTCATGAAAACTGACCCTCTCTTTACACCCTCAAATAGTATGTGCCTCTGATGGAACAGGCTTATGGCTCTGATATCTGTTATTTATTTCTTAACGAATCTAACTGAGACCTTGCCCAAGATGTGCTCATGAAAAATTACCCTTTTAATGGTGGAGCATTTAATGAGAAACTGGATTATCTACTGCATAAGTGCCCTTCATACAAATTAGCTTGGCCCTGGGTCCTAATCTAAATTGGGCTCCCTACTTTCCTCTAAATGGCCTAATATTTTCTTATTAATCTCTACCCTTGTTCACCTGATCTGGCTCTACCTCCTCTTATGAAGCTTCCTCCTTGACAGAGCTCTGTGCCCTGACAAATGTTTCTTAAGGCTCTTTGTATCTGACTCATAGACAGTTTTTAGACATGACATGTAGGCTGGAAACTGTTCCATTTTCAAGCTGTCCTTCCAATGGAATTTTAATGCTGCTAGTGTATTGAGTATCAACAGATTTGGGCCAGGTAGGAGATGAGGCTTTATAGGGAAGTTGGGTACATGTGAAAAATCAATCATAGTGATGAAGAGGACAGGCTTAAAAATACAGAACACAAACCGCAAATCTGTGCTTGGGCATCAGACAGATCTGTGTTCAGGTCCCAGTCAGTGAATTTGGAAAAGTTACTTGTCCTCTCAAACCTTCAGCTTAGATCCTCATCTATAAAACCTGAATGATAGTACCCACCTCTAGGATTTTTCTAGGGCTAAACAAGTTGATGTGCTTTGTATAGAACATGATCTATGCTACCTGGTATTGCAGTTATAATTAAAGCTTGGAAGAAGTCCCAAATAGTGAAAGGGGTGTTAGTAATGACTGAAATGGTATCATGTGTTAAAGAGGCAGACATGGTATTTATTATTATAGAATAAGATGACCTTCCCCCGAAATAGACCAAGCCACAGGCCACTCCTACCAAACAGTGCGTAATAATGCAGAGAGAGGTGACCTGTAGTACCATGACCTGCGGTTGTTTTCTTTGTTCTTAGCTTCAGTCTCTGACATCTGAACCTCACTGAACCCTGGAGGAGTATCACATTTTACATTGATTACAGTTCCTCGCTAATCAGCCATGTGTTATATTTGCTGCATGGAATATTTTTCAAAGGCTTTACTAGGAGTCAGCAAGGGTGCAGTGGGGAAAAACTTACCGTGAGAATACTTGATGTGCATATACTATCTCATTTAAGTTACTATTCACAATAACGCTAAACGTAGATATTTAATCTTCATTCAACAGATAAGACACTGAGACTCAGGAGATAGTTTAGTTGGTTTTATAAGTGAGAGAGCCATGGTGTGAAATGAGGATGGCTGACTCTAAAGTTTATACCTTCTTACACGCCCAGCATAATGTACAACACATTTTTATTTGTAGTTACCAAAAACTTGAGCTTCTAGGGGCACAGACTTTGTTTTAATTGTCTGTTGCCAGTGAATAATAGCATCTGGTACAGAGGAGCTACTCAGTAAGGGATGAATGAATAAGTTATTGAAATGCAAGTCATATTTTGTCAATCAAAAAGTATCATACAATGGTTAGCTATTAGCATTGTCTTTTTTTCTATTTTAAGCATTTTCTCAAATAATTCTCAACCCCACATCATACACATAGAGCCAGATAGACTGAGTTATTGATAATGTCCTCAGCTCCAAGTTTCTGATGAGGGAAAATGTGATGGAGGAAGTATCAGAAGGTGAAATTAATGACATGCCAGGAGATGACTATTAGAAGGCTAGGGCATTCCAGGTTTTAAGAAACATATGTGCAACGCCTCAACCTGTGACTAGTTTGATGAAAGTTTGATAAGGTTAGAAATTTGAATTTCTGTGTATTCAAAGCTTTTTCCCACTATGCGAACTTGGACAAGCTACCTGAATTCTGTGACCTTCATCTTCATCATCTGGAAAGTGGATATGGTTGAGGTGTCATGAAAATTGGGGATAAAGTTTGTGAAACATTTTATATGAAACATGTACTCAGTTCACAGTAACTTTACTGTTCGTATTTTGTGTGGATGTGTTTGAACTTCTGGTTGATGTGTCTTAGCAAAATATTATGTTAATAGTTATTGAGAAAGCCTCTTACAGGATATGGACACATCATACCAAGTAGTGTGGAAGTCTGTTTGTGTACACACATGAGTTAGCAGAAAAGATATTGTGAAACCATTTTCTGATAATTGTCTCTGGGTCATTACTTGATACAAAGCAATTACTCTGAAGTCTCACTATAAAACAGCCCATTGGAACTGGGTGTAAGGAGGGGCTTGGACCCTGGCCAAAGTCATATGAAATGCTAAGAATATTAAAGAGACTCAGTTGTAATACTATTCCAATAAGAATGTCAGATATGAACTCTTAGAGGGATGATTATTTGTCGAATACCTAGTGTGTATTCAACACTGCATTGGGTACTTTATATGTGTTGTCTGATTTATTTATTTGAATACCCCTTTGGGGTTGGCTATTTTTAGCTCTTTTTTTTTTTCTGCCTGAGAAAACAGAAGCTCAGAGAGGAGAAGTAATTTGCCTCAGAATTTAAAAGTCTAGAGTCACAATTTGCATCTAAGAGAACTGCCATGGTTTTCTACTTGGTCCAACGATTTGACTTTCCTAGAATGCAGAAGAAACAAGAGAATGAACCTCAGTGCTGTGGATCTGCAAAACCAACGTGGCAAAAGATCTACATATCTAAATCCTGCTTTTCTCTGTTTTTAGGTCAGGATCGCAGTGAAGCCACTTTGATAAAGAGGTTTAAAGGTGAAGGGGTCCGGTACAAGGCCAAACTGATCGGGATTGATGAGGTTTCTGCAGCCCGGGGAGACAAGTTATGTCAAGATTCCATGATGAAACTCAAGGTGCTGTGTAAACATTTTACTTTAAATAAAATAAGTTTAATAAGACTGAGAGAAAGAAATGATTACACAATTATTATGGTCAAAAAATTTTCTTTATTTACTTATTGGTACATTTCCAATTTTCTTTATTTACTTATTGGTACATTGGTACTGATCAGTCACTGCGTATATTCTTTGGGAAGAGATTTCAGTCATTCAGCAAATGTTTATTGAGCACCTCCAATGTGGAGGTATTTTATTGGGCCCTATTTTATCATTTTTGAGCATCACATTTTATTCAATATTATCTTCATTGTGTAATGCCTGCAAAAATAAAAGTAAAATCATCACATTGCATAGTCTCTCATATTTTATGAATTTTCACTATTTTATGTTTAAATAAATTTTATGTATTTTATCATATGATAAATATGGTAAAAGATGCTATGTTAAGATAAAAACTGATTTTGTTCATTCTTGTAATTTCTATTAATGTCTCTCAAATACTTTTAATTAGGGGAAAACATTTTTGAAAGTAATATTTAACTAAATATTTCTGACATTAAATGCTTTAAAGAAGCCTTTTTATTGAGACAGCTAAGAAAGAAATTGAAAAATTTTCACTTACAAAATAAGAAAATTGTGATATTAAATAATTATTTAAACCATACAAAAAAAGAAAATTATTTCTAGATTCTGGTCTCCATATAGCCTGTATTTCTTTTTTTTTCTTTTTTTTCTTTTTAAGTTTGTCAGGGTAACATTGGTTAATACAATTATATAATTTTTAGGTGTACATTATAATTTGACATCTGCATATTCTATTGTGTGATTACCACCCAGAATCTAGTTTTTTTGTTGTTGTTGTTGTTGTTTAAGATGATCTAAAATACTGGGAAAAAACCCAAATAATTTAGCACGAAGATACAAAATGCCTTCTGTATTTAAAACATATAATTTAATTATTTTACTGATTATAGAATTTATAAGACGTTCATTTTAAAATTTTTTGAAAATGCCGAAAAGTGTGAGGAGGAGAGTTGAAATCATCTAGTGCTATCAAACAAAGAAAATCGGTGTCAACATTTTTAAAGTGTATAACAATCTCTTTGTATTTATATATATATATATAATATGAATTTTACACATGTAACATAATTGGAATTACTATTTATATAACTATGTCCTGTTTTTTCTCATCTAATAACATATTATGAGCATTTTTTTTTCATTACCTTCAAATAGTCACTGAGGATACAACTTGGTAGTGTAATTTTTTTTTAAAGTAAGGAAAAAAGAAAGAAAAAAACAATAAGGCTGGCCAAATGCCTAGAAGTATTAAATGTAACAATATCTTCAGAATACTCTCTACTTGCCTTTTAATATTTGCTTAATAAACCACAGCTATTATTTTTATTTATACTTAACAGATTTTCTCAGCAGTTTAACATGTATGTCAGAGCTAAAAGTCCTTATAGTATAACTGTAGGAATCATCATTTAAAAACCCTTAATTTTCTAAAATGTGTATTTATTACTTTTTTAGCTGTCACATAAGCAAACTTTAGTTTAATAGTTATGTCTATTATAAGGTATACTTGAAAAAGGTATAAAAGACATCAAAATTCTGATTTCACAGATTATCACCTTGAAAGAGGTTAATGTGTGTGTGTTTTTTTTAATAATTAAACAATGCTGTGAGATTTTTATGACAGTCCAATAATGAGCCTTCTTCTTCTACCAAGTTCAAATCTGACTGACAAATAGATAAAGGAATCTGACAGGAAGAATTCTAAATTTTAGCTTCGTGACTGGTAAATGCTGGTCTAGAGGACATGATATAGATACATGGCTACAGTGAGACAGGTTATTCCACTTGGTTTATGGGGGAGTTGGAGAACTGCAACCCTCCCTGTTCCCCTCACCTCATCCCTGCCTGAGAGCAGAACCTTGACTTACATATGAAATCAGACCAGAATACAATGTCACTACTAACGGGCAGCTCACATAGAGAGAACCCAGAAGTTACATGTACTCAGCTTCTCTCCACACCCCAGTCAGATAGAGACATGCCTGTTCCTCATGGAGAACTTAGTCAAGGATGGGGATAAAGGCCAGGATCTTGATTCTTACCGAAGTCTTTCCTTACTGAGCTTGAGGCCAGGCAAGTGGAAATTTGCTCCTGACAAATATTAATTAAAAGGCTTCAAGAAAATCTCCAATGATTTGGTTCTCACCCAAAGAGCCACAAGTCTACTGAGGAGGAAAAGGAACTGGTGCATTTTTCTCAGCATCCTGGTAGATAGCCATTCAGCACCTGTCACAAAGTTAACTGCCTTCATGGAAGCGCCAAGGTCAGTGTGGATATGAGGCAGAAGTTGGTCTGTGCTCCCTGAAGCTTATCCCTCAGAATTAATATTGGGCCCCGCTAGCTGGACCAGACATGGCAATGACTGCCAACCTTGAACACACACACGCGCGTGTGTGTGTGTGTTTGTATGTGTGTTACCTGCAGTGAAGTGCCCCATCTGTCACCCCTCATAACGATGAGGTTCCCAAAGCTCTGAGAGTTAGTTCTATAACACACTCTTGTCAGATGCCCTGAACTTGTTAAGGGGTTTCAGTTTCCAGACAGTTGTGTTTCATTAATTGCAAGTTGCCAAGAAGAATGTTGACATTTCAGCTCCCAGTGGTTTTTCTTCAGAAAACAGAAACATAAATGATCGATTCTTCACTTGGCCACTTGCCCAGGAAAGAGACAGAGAAGTACAAAATGCCTCTTAGCTTTGCAAAAAGGCCTACTTGTTCACGTTAGGCCTGTGAGAAACAGCAACAACAAAAAAATCTGTTTTTCTTTGCTAGACTGTGTGAAGCTGCTGTCTTTCCCTGTTTTAGAGAGTTTTATCTTGGATTGTAGAGGTTTGAGAGGGGATTCATATCGTGAACTTGAGTGAGCCATTACCTGTCCACCAACAAAGCATCATCATGATAGTGTTTTAATTTAGAGTCAACTAAGTACTTTCACATATGTTATCTCTCTTGATCTTGTGAGATAGATATTGGCCTCTTTGCTTTGTTAGTAAGAAATCTGAGGTTCATAGAATTTAAAGGATTCGCCCCAAAACCTTCATTTAATCTGAATTTAAACCTAGATCTTTGGAAGCCCAGTGTTTAACAAGACATAGTCTGGGGCTTAATAATATATATTTTTTTACCTACATTTAATTTATCTTGGTTCCTCAACTGGATTTTAAGCCCCAGTAAGCTACTACCTAATAGTCACATATCATTGACTTTCAAAGCAGTCAGTTTTCACAGACAATGGGCAAAATCGTGGTGGTTCAAGCTGTGGGAGGGGATGAGATTTCCCAAAGACCATGACATGAGGGCTAATTACAGAGCCCTAAGTATGTCAGTCAGGGCTGTATAAGAAACAGACCCCACCTTGGCTGGGTCAGATGAGGACACTTGAGTAAAGGAATTACTTACAAAGGGTAGGCAAGGTTAGGGTAACAAAAAAGGGCTGATGAGTCCCTCAGAAACTGGCCACAGTGGGAAGCTGTTAGCACCCTTGGAAGAAATGTATTTGCTAGAATCCGGGGAGAAAGGATGGAGGACGAAGTCTCCTCCCTCACCAAGCAAAAATATAGCTACTGCCGGAGATACAGAATAAGGACAGGAAGGAGGTGATATGAAATACCCTAACTTCCCTCTCCATCCATCCTCTGATCTCCTTCCTGTGCCTTGGAACCCAACTGGAAGCCAGAGGGCAAGAAGCTTAGAGGACCAGAGAATGCAGCCCACAAGCCCAGTCTTTGAGCATAAAGCAGGGCAGAGGAAGATATTTGTATCCCCCTTTAGAACCAGGGAAAGTGAAACTTAGGATGAGTTTTTATCCAAACATCTAACAGCAGACAAGTCATAGAGCTGAGATTAGAGACCAGATTTTATTCATAGAGCTTTCTGGAATAGCGTTCTAGATTCTCAGCTATTCATGCCCGAAGCCTGTTGTGTTTTCACACCTTCATTTACGTGTTCCATGGAGATCACAGTCATTCCGTCATGTGTATGAGCCATGTGGGTGAGGTTTCTCACAGCCCTTTCCTGTGCAGCGTCTTAGAGGGCTCTCACAGCAACCCCCGAGATGGACGGGACAGCCTGTTAATTCTGCCTGGCATCCCTGACCCCTTCTCTGTGTATAAATTCCTCCATCGAGATGCTGCCTATGTGTGACTCCCTTAAGAATGTCATTTCACACCGTGCCTAGCACACAGTGTTGCTTAATAATACCAATATCAGTACTGGTAATAATGGTAACCATTAGTTACTGAGCTCTCCCTGCTTGCTACACACCGTGCAGAGTGCTGTATGTGCATAGATCGTTTAAACGTCCCAACGTTCTTATGAGATAAGAAGTGCCATTATTCTCATTTTAAAGTTCTTCACTACTGCGTCTGGGAGCTGGTGGCTCCACCTAGCTATTTTCAGAACATTTTGAGGTATCCGTAATATATTGTGTATCTTTTTTTTTCATCTAACTTTCCCCAACATTGGGATTGAAAGATCACTGCTTAAAATCCCTTCGTGTCTTACAAATTCCTTGAGGTTTGGGGTGGTTACTTGACCCTCTCACCTGTGTTTCCTCATGCCTAAAATAAGGGAGCTAATTCTTACTTCTCAAGATCGTGGTATGGGCTAAATTATATGACGTGTAAGAGAACCTCTACCATATAGTAGGTACCCAAGATAATGACTGACTCCCTAATTTCCAGGTTTCCAACAGTGACTTGCTAGGTCTAGGGGCTAATATTAGGCACAGAGTCCCCAAAGCACCTATGTCCACATCTTCTGACTCTCCAACCAGAGCTGTCTCCTGGACCTCCATTCTTCTACGTAACAGCAATGAATAAGCTTATGGGGAGACGAGACTCTGAGGATATCTGGTGGCAGGCCTGCTTAGACTAAGATTTTATTCCCCCAAAGATAGAACCATGTGGATAGTCTTTCTCTTTTTCATTTGTCACGTAAAGCTATCATCAGCAGCCCCAATCAGAAATGCTCCTGGAACATGGATGTTTTCGCTTTCCCTCCTTTTTTATGTACAGCCATATTCTACCAGGGAGTTCTTTGATAGTTATGTGGAACCAGGAGGAAAGAGGGTCATTATCTAGTCAGCACTACTGTGTGCCAGGAATTATTGCTATTTGATGTCTCAGTAATTCTGGAACTAGGGACCATTAGGACTGTTTTGGAGATAGACGTTGAAGCTACTCTTACTGACCAAAGGTGTGACCCTCTCCTCACCATGTCCTGTGATGTCCTTAACTAGGACAGAATTAAACAAGGAGGAGCTCCCCTCCCCTTTGACACAGTCCTTCAGATCTTTCCATTTACCATCAGGCTACTTCCTTTTCTCTCTTTCATGTATGTCTGGATACCTGAGGTTGAAGGTTAGGCTGAAGGAAGGGATAGACAGCATAAATTATTTTACTCCAAATCCAGCAAAGAACAGAGTTCAAAGTCAAGTTTTCCTAGGTTCAAAGTCTGGCTTATTTACTACCTGAGTGAGAAAAAGTCACTTCACTTTTTTTTATTGCCTGCTTTATTCTGGATTTTGTTCTCGACACTGGGCACATAGAATGAACAAAACGAAGTTCCAGGAAAAGTTGAGCTTTTGTTCTTTGGTCAAAGGCAGACAGTCAACAAATGAATACATGTCAGATGTTGTAAATGCCATGAGGAAAAGAGGCATAGGGAGAAATAATGAGATGCAGTTTGGAGTATAGAGTCAAGGGATCAGAGACAGTGTTTCTGACAGGGTGGCATTGAACAGAAATAGTATTTCTCTGGAACTGCATAGATATATTTTGACCTTTCCCTTGTGTCCTTAAAATCATCCCTCAGTGAATTTGTGGGAAAGCAAGCAACACATGGAGGAATCTAGGGACCTCTGAATAGGATGGAGACAGAGGACTTAGCTTTGGGGAGTGAGTCACTCTCTTTAACTATTTAGAGGACAGTCACTGGAGGGAGGGACCTTGTATCAATGTGTAGCAGTCCTGAGAGGCTGAAAGAAGAACACTAGGTAGGGTTACAGAAGAGAGATGCTAGGAAGACACAACGTAGAGGAATAATATCTTCTCCCTGCACCAAATGTCTGGAAAGCTGAGTTGTAGTCTCAACTTTTTAAGCAACAATCTGTGCCATCTTGGGACTGTCCACCTAACTTTGTAGGCATCGTTTTCTCATCTGTTAGTTGGGAAATTTGAACTGGTTAGTTTTAAGTTTGTTCCAGCTCTAACATTCTGTATGTCTGTGAGTGTGTAAGAGGAACTTAAGAATGTGTGGATGACTCGTGAGGGAGTAGATTTCCTGCTTGTAGGTACCCATAGAAGAACACAAACTTTAAGAGACAATCATTCAGTCACCAGAAGTGATTTTTATTACTTCCCTACAGTGTACCAGACATTGTACTAGGTACTTTAAATAAAATTTTATTTAATTCTTTCGACCATGTAAGAAAAGTATTTACACTTGAGGAAGTGGAATTGAGAGTTAAGTGATTTGTCCAAGATTACAGAGAGCTAGGAGTATGACCCAGATATTCTGATTCCACAGAGTATTTCCAATACCCAAAGTGAGGATAATCGAACAACCTCAAGACAATGCCCCTATCTGTGCCTTCTGGTCATATCTGTGCTCTCTAACACCAGTCATTCTCAGAGACTGAGGTTGAGCATGTGATATTCTGAGAATAGCACAAACGACTTTTATCAGTATTATTTTACCGTAACTTATACTAACCCTAAAAGCTCAGAATCGTAACTGCTGAGAGTTGGGCTGAATCTTGCCCTCTCCAGAAGCTAATAGTGATGAAGGGATTGGAAGCCTCGAAACACCTAATGCCGTGTCAGCAGCAGCCCTTGAGTGTAAATCCCTTGACATGTCCTTACTCTGAGTTGTAGCCTGGTATAAAACCCATGCTTACCTGTAATTGGTCACCACAGGGGCTAATTGAAAAAGTAAATGTCTTTACTTTTGACTTGTATCATATCAACTTTGGGGTACTCTGGATAGTAAGTACATTCATGTAACAATAATTTACTGAGTAACACTTGTCTTCCAGGAACTGTCCTGGACACTAGGGATAGAACAGTGAGCAGAGTAATGTCCATACCTTTTGTGACCTTGACCTTCTAATGGGCTCATACACATATCTTCAATATATAAAAAGTTTGAGAAAGTGGGGAAACAGATGTATTGGTAAATGGAATCCATTTGGTAGGTGCTTTCCTTGAAAGCACAAATGACTCTTATAGAATGATAGGGAAAAGGGTAAAGGAAAATGCAAAATGTCTGTGGGTAGAAATTACAAACCATAGGGATAAACTGTGATCATCGTATTTTTTGAAACAAAAATTGAGACATGCAGTCTGGTAATAGTTTTTCTTTTCTTTTTAATCTCTAAATTGACTCATATGAAAGCTTTTTCCAGGAGCATAAAAATAAAATCCTATTTGGGGATATATTTCATGACTTGACTTTATTTAAAAGATTAAAACCATATCCAATATAAAACCCAGCAAAGATATTAATAAAAGGACCATATTGTGTTTATCTTGGGATCTCAAATTCTGAACTGAGTATCTAGGTACAAAGTAGGCGTTCTATAAATCTTGGTTAGTCCAATGAATCAGTGTTCAGATATCTATTTATATGTTATAACAGCTTAGGATAAGCATTCCCCTAAAACATCAAGAAGATGCAAGCACATTAGGTAGGGAAGCCTGGAAGGAGCAAAGAGAAAGGAGTGTGCATGATTGGTGGTATCGGTTGATGGTATCTGACATGCTTTTGGGACCAGAGGGAATTTTCAAATGAAAATGCTAAAGTAAAAACCATGTCTTCTTTCAACAGGGTATTGTTGCTGGCGCTCGTTCCAGAGGAGAACACAAACAGAAAATCTTTTTAACCATCTCCTTTGGAGGAATCAAAATCTTTGATGAGAAGACAGGGGTAAGTTAAAAAATCACATGGCATTGTGAAATTGAATCCATTGACAGATGTGCCCTTAAAAGCCTCTACTCGCTGGGCAGGAATATCAAACAAGCATAAAAACACATAAAGCAACTGACAAACTTAATCAGCTGTGATCATCCATCAAAGGGAGGCTCTTTCCTGACTTGGCCACAGTGTGGCTGCACCGTGTTTCTTATAGTGTAATTGTGATAATAGTGTCACACAGTCCTGGTAATCTAATGGGAGATTGATGAGCTTTGAAGAGCAGTGGGTAATGTGACAGTTTAAGTTAAATTTCTTCATGTGTTAGCAACTCTAATGACATGCATCCTAGAGGGAGACACATGGCGGTCTTTTGACTTAGTCAAAGCATCCAGACTCTCTTGAGTTTAACCTATGGAACCTTGTAGTACCTGTAATCAAAAAGAATAAATGGAGTTTTCAATCTTTAAAAAAAAGAAATCTCTCACTGCATGACCAGGAAATGTGAGGGCTGATGTTTGTTGAACAAACCAAAGAAGTGGTTTGTGTTTTCATCAACCTCCCAGAGGCAGTTAGCTCAGATTTATCTCCAGGGCTTAACTGACATTGTCAGTCCTTTTCATTGACAGTAAGAGAAAAACAGGAAAATATTCTATGATCTGTTTTGTCGAAAGGGCAGGAGTCAAATGGACATATTTTTCCTTTTATTCATTTATTCACCTCCACATGCGAAGGTGCGGGCTTTGAACTTCACAAGATAATTTATCAAGCATTGTATAAACAATACTAGCCAAGTTAATTAAGCTTAGTCATTTGCATTATTATTTCTTCCTCTTTTTTCTGACTCATTAGGATAAGATATGGGTAGTATGATGATTATTTTAACAGTAAAAAATGGGTTTTCTTGAAAAAAGTTACTCCTGAATAATTAGTAATAGGACAGATATTTGTACACCTATGTTCACAGCAGCATTATTCACAATAGCCAAAAGGTAGTAGCAACCCAAGCATCTTTTGATGGATGAATGGATAAACCAAATGTGGTATGTACACACAGTGAAATATATTCACAATAAAAAGGGGAGAGGTTCTGAAACATGCTATGACATGGATGAACCTTGAAGACATTATTCAAAGTGAAATAAGCCAATCACAAAAAGATAAACTGTAGAATTCCATATATAGAGGAGTCAGATTCAAAGAGACAGAGAATAGAATGGTTGTTGAGGGAAGAGGTGATGAAGAGATAGTGTTTAATGTGTACAGAGTTTAAGTTTGGGAAGAAGAAGACAGTGCTGATGATGGATAACTATGATGGTTGTACAACATGAATGTACTTTATGCCATTGAACTGTATGCTTAAAAATGGTTAAGGTGGTAAATTTTATGTATATTTTCCCACAATAAAAATAATTGGTAATAATAACTTCCATTTATTGAGTACCTACTATATACTAGGTACTTATTAGTCACTTTACATACATTATTCAGTTTTATCCTCACAACAATCCTGTAAGATAATAGTAACTACTTCATCAAGCACATAATATATATTGGCATTGTTATATGCCCTTTATATGCACCAACCCATTTAATCCCCACAGCAACCATAGAAAGTAAGCAGTATTATTACCTTCATTTTATACTTGAAGATATCGAGGAGAGGAAAGTATACATAACTTGGCGAAAGTAAGTGGTGGTGGATACAGGATTAGAACCCAGGTAGCCTAGTTTTTCATTCATTTAACTGTAATGCCTGTTATCTCAGGATAAGTGGCTTTCCCAAGTTTACCCAGCATGTAGGAGGCAGAACTGAGATTTAGCCTCCAGTTGGCCTGAGTCAAAAATCAATGCAATCGACCTCTGTGTTATAGAAGTAGGTGGGCCTACCTGGGGGTGCCTTGATAGAAGGGAGCTTAGAATGAGGGCACAAGCATCAATAGTAAAGAAACTTGAATGCAGCAAGAATAAGAGCCTAATGGAAGCCTCTCTTGCTTTAATGAAAGTATGATTTCCCCTTTCCTGGGCAGACTATTGTTTGGAGACCTGTGCTCAGTTTTGAACCTCACGTTGTAAAAGGGATATAGGCAAATCTCTTTAAAGAATATCCTGATAAAGTAGACCAGGGCAGCTAAGAGACTAGAAGCTATGCTGAGCCAATACTTCTCAATACAGATGTGGCCTCATGGGATACTGGGTAACACACAGGAAGCAGAGAGCTCTGGGCTTGTGGAAACTTGGAGGATTTCAATTCATTAGCATCTGTTATGGGAGGGAGCCAGGTAATGAGGATCAAACCTAACCCAGAGATACTTTCACAATGATTTATATGCCCCAATTTTATATCGCCATCTTTAGTCTTCTCCCCATCCCACGCCTGCCCATCGCCATGACAACTAGCAACCAAAGGGACAGGAGCGAGGCCGAGTATCAGATGCTTTATCTTGTTCGAGAGCATGTTTTTGGGCTGTGCTGTTCCATCATGTATCCTACCATCAAATAGGCTATGCCCAGATAATTAAAGTCCTAATCACCAAATTTTAACTAATGAGAAGTAGTAGTTTATATTCGTTACCTTTATCTAAATTCTCACTCAAGGGTAGCTGAGCTGGCCCCAAAGAAAGATACCACCGAACCTTATAACACTATTTTTTTATTTTTTAGCTGTACATATAACAACGATAAAATCATTATTTCAGCCCAAAGCGGTTTGGCTTTGTAGAAAAAGTGTCAGATCGCTAGTGGAGAAGCAGGATGAAGGCAAAGTTAAATGCTTCCTGTCTGGCTTAGTCTACTCTGGTTCTGTTTGATTAATGTTAGGCCTCTGTAGCACCAGCTTCTGAAACTTTACCTTGTTACTAAGCCTGAACACTAGCGTGGGGAAAGCTGGTGGAGAAGACTAAACATTTTTAAGCCTGAAGTAGAGACAGTAGGGGGCACCCCATACGAATGGCATTCATCTCTCCAAAGAGTTGTGTAGTAGAAGAAGGTGCTGACTTGCTCTGTGTGACTCAAGGAATAGAACCAAGACCTGGTAATAGTTTCTAGGAAGCATTTTCAGTTTATGAGTAAGAAGAACTTTCCACCATCAGAGCTATTCATCAGTTAGGTGGACCATTTTCTGTGTGAGTTCACCATGGCTGGGAGTATTCAAGCAACAACCATATGATAAGGAAATCATGGAAGGGAGTCAAGTAGAAAAAAGGTGTTAAAGTCACAACTAAGGTGGTTACTGAGATTAGTTTTAAGATTCTATGTCTCCCTTAAAGTCAACCCTATTGATAAGATTTATCTTCTGTTAAATGGAAA